ATTATTTAATCATACATGACGTTATAAAATAAACAAATTCTTCAAATACCAATAAATGGGAGACTGCTTTAAAAGTTTTTTTCATGAATGTTGTATTACTTATTAACTTATTAATTAAATTTTTGTCTAAAACTTAGCAAATTTCAATATTTATGAGTATTTCTGAAATATTGTCTGAAATGACTTGTACGGAAAGAGTTACAAACTTCAAAGATAGACTGACTAAACGTCTCCAAACTATCCCTATATCAAGACAAAAGTAACTCATCAAATTTCCATCAAAATGTTAAAATTTTCCTATTATTCTAAAGTACTTAACAAATTTATTTTAAATTTAGAGATGTGTTGAAACACATTTTAATACTAAATGACTTAATGGATATTTTCATTTTTTGATATTTAAAAATATTGTTTGAATAATTTCTATTTTTAAAAACATAAGTACAGAATATTTCACAAGAGTGAACATTTTATTCTATATTCTTCTCTCTTTCCTATCTACAAGAAAACATATTTGCCCTACTGACAATCAAAACATCTATTATTGATTATATTCCTCTGTAAGAATTCATTATCAGGCCAGGATTGGTGCTATACACCTGTAATCCCAGCACTTGGGAGAATGAGGCAGAAGGTTTGCTGTGAGTTTGATGCCAGCCTGAGCTACACACCAGCTGTGAGTTCAAGGCTAGTATGAAATACAAAGTGAGATCCTACCTCAAAAATCCTAAGAAAATAAAGAATACCCAATCAAGCATTTCTCCCAAAGTTACAAGATAATAACTTTTATTAACTGAACATTTAATGTTAGAAAATTGACACATTAATAATCTTTTAAAATAATTTTAAAGAAATATGTAACAACGTATGATATAACAGATTTTTAAGAACTTAAATATAGGAAGAGATTATGTCACAGCTGGCTGCGGAAATAAAATGTTTGTATTGTAAGAGGTAGAAAAATGTCTAACTGTGAAGTGTATGTGACAGGTTTGCAGCAGTTAGGTTAGAGTGTTGCGCTCTCAGGTGAATAGGGGAAGTGACATTAGAGACAGAGCACTGCAAAGTGTGTTTTGTGTCCATCTTGTTAGTAATGTTTGTCACAAGCAGCAGCATTTCTAGGGGAGAACCAGGCATGACCAGCAATAATAGTGATGGTTTAGTATACTACTCCAAAAAAAAAAAAAAAAAATCCACAAAAGGTCCTGGAGGAACTAGTTCTGAGCTTCAGTAGATCTCCAGAGCAATGCTATCTGAGGACGCATATTTTTCTTCTATGTCATTCCTACTTTGTAACAAACACAGTTTTACTTTTAAACATGAATGATTTTAACTGGAGCTTTGGCTACTAGACATTGGAATTTTATAACTGAAATATTACATTTCCACTTATTGTTAAAAATAACAGTTGTAAGACTTTATTCCTAGGATGGCAGATTCAAAGTAAGATTAATTGTATCACTTATTCCAAGGATACTGAGTTCCTTTCCACCTCAAAGCAGTGACTTTAGTGGCTAATTGTGAAATGAACCACCAAATTTAGTTTCCACAAGTCACCCAAAGAAAAACACATCGCAGAATTTCCTCTAATGTGGGATCAAATCTTATTTTTTACTTAATCTAATGTTTACTGAAGGGCAAAGTATACAGCAGTACTTTTGGAACGCACAGCGAAACTTTGGCCTATCTTGTTCCAGTTAGGTAAATTATTCACCACATCCTCACAAACCCACCATTTCCCTCATTGTTGTGGTCCTGTGAAATGAGCTTGATCTGACTTAGCGCCACACTACCTAAAAATGGTGCTAAATTTTTTTCCAGTACTTCTTATTTCACAAATTAATTCCACTATGCTCATAAGCAAAATAAATCAAACTCACATGTATAAATACCGTATAGTCTCCCTAGTATAAGAAATAGTAAGAGTACATAAGAGTTTATGGTAATCATGATTCCCCATTACATTGTTTTGAAGCCTTATATTGATTGCATTCATTAGCTGGAATGGGTTTGTCCTGGTTTGTTTGATGTTAATATCTGTGCTGGTATGAACAGCTAATTTGAGGGAAACAAGTCATTATAACAGCCAGTGCTGATTAGTATCATCTTACTCTGAAGTCCTATCATGCTCTTGCTCTTCTGTTTCCATTGGCCCTATCATGTTGTGCCTTATTGGATTGTATTATGTGTGAAAGTATAAACAAATTTTCCATGGAAAATGAGATAACATAGTAGCCATTGCTGTTTTCTGTTATTTGGTTCTGAATGCCCTGTAATAGTCTCATCCTCTTGAATGTTTTTATGCTATTTTGTTATGTTTGATACTATTGTATATGAAGTTATTCTCAAGTATTTTAAAGAAAGAGCCATTATGGTAGTTACTGTTAATTACGGGTTGTCTTCTGGTGAAATACTGTGTTGCTTACATTGTACTGTTCTGATCTGCTTTGTTATGTCCTGTTTTGTCTTAATCTCTTTAAAGTAAAAAAAAAAATAATTAATTCCACAGAGTCATTTTCACAAGGCCTCACACTTATTTTTAGAAGTGAAAGTGACAAAAAGCCATCTGTTCTAGTATGAATGCATGAAGATAAACCTGAAAGTGTTTCACTAACAGAGTTTGTACTTTGTCATACTGCAAGCCAATCATTAAAGCACAGCCTTGGATCAATTATTATGTTAAGAAGAATAAATAGTCAATTACAGGCTATATTTTACAGTTCAGCAGGGTCAAAATAAATATTTAACACTGAGAAAATTATCCTTCAACATCAAAATTGTTTGCCATTGTACAGACTAAGCAATTGATTTTGTTCTTCAATTTTTAACTGGTTAATCTGTCCTGTGGTACATTCACTTGCTTAAATATAAGATTGTGAAGGATTCAGAAAGAAAGAAAGAAAGAAAAGAGAGAAAGAGTAAAGTGAGGAGGAAGAAAGAGAGACAGAAAGGAAGCAAGCTTCTATCAAAGCAAAAAAAGTTTATGAATAGTATATTAGGCAAGTACAACCGATAAAACAAAAAAAAACACATAAAATGTGAACAAAAGGTACATATATATATGCATCTATTACTAACTTGATATTTTAGTTCTTTGCAATAATCACAACAAACATTTAATTTTAAATTTTCAATCCCACTTTTCAGAATTTTCAACTATAGAATATCAGAAAAATTATGAAAAGAGTAATAAAAATTTCCTGGGATCAATATTGCAGTTCAACTTGAAATAATTGAAGATATTGAAACATTCATATTAAATAGCTCCTAATAAATCAATAACATGATGAAGATAATTAAGTCATTATGAAAACATCATTATATATCTTCAAATATCTAGAGTTTTCATTGATGAGAAGCCATTCAACCCTGCCCTCTGAAAATAAAAGAACACCAGAAACAATGCAGAATTAGACACTGTGGGGAAACTAATGTGAATTTAAGCAATATTACAGAAATATTTTTGCTGGGTGTTTTTGGTTTTTGTATTATTATTATTATTATTATTATTATTATTATTATTATTTTGTGCCGGGGATCAAACTCACGACCTTGCACTTGCTAGGCAGGTGCTTATGTCACGGAGCTAAATCCCCAGCCTATTTTCTCTTTTGAGCCAGGGTCTCATTATGCCATTCAGGCTGGCCTTCAGCTCACTTTGTAGCCCAAGATGGTCTCGAACTCACAAAAGTCCCCCTTCCCAGCCTCCCAAGTGCTAGGATAACAGGCATGAGCGTCCACGACAGCTACTACAGAAATATTTTATACATACATTGCTATAATTTATCTTTTATAGACCTCAATCCAAATTTCAAAACAACCAACAAAGACAATAACAAACTAGAAAAATATTTCCTTCCAAAGATCTATAAAATTAACTGACAAAAATTAATCTATTTTATAAGCATAAATATAGAATTATTACAAAGAAGTTAGAAGAACACTGGCATTTAATAAGGAAAATAGTGGATTTTCAATGCTTGGATATTTACAATATTAAAAACAATTAAAGTCCCAATATAATTCAAATTCAAAATATTTTAGAACAGAGAATGAAAGAGTAACATATTTCTGTCTAAATAAAGTGATAAACTGTACTGTCTGAGTTTCAGAATAGGATAAAATTTTGAGAAAGGAAACTAAAGAACTGAATCTTTTACAGAGGAATTGTATTTTTTAGTAAATCCTATTAACTAAAAATATCACAATTATGCAAGTTTGTTAAATTATATATTAACTTTACTCCTTAAATTATGGCAACTATGAGAAATTTTTAGCAATAGAATAGTAAATTTATATTTTATAAATTTCTTATTACATAAAATAACATGCCTACTGCAGACTAAATGAAAAAGTATCCTGCAAATACTCTAATACTTTTCTTCAAAATTAATAATCTCTACTTTTGCTTTATAAGTTGTTATCAATGATAGGCATTATTAAATTGAACCTTTTGTCATTCTTTAAAATCAATGCATATTTTTCCAAGATAAAGAATTCAATAAAAATGAAATACAGACAAAATGTTCCAAATTATTTTAGGATGGAAAAAAAAAAAAACCTACAAAACAACAGGACACAATCATTCTCTAAATCTAGTCCATACACATATTCTAGGAGAGAATCTAAGCTTGTTTCTAAATTGAAGCAATTTTATAGCACTGTAAAAAAGAAAAGTAGAAAGTGGAAAAATTGGTCCAGGAATCAAGACTTTTTAAGAAAGACACTGCCACTGTTCATCATTCAACAAAGCCAAACCAGAAAGTCCATTCCTCCCTAATGTGATGACTTCATGCTCACTTAAGTTTCGCGTTTCAAATCTTCATTTGCTGTTTTTTGGTTATATAATTTAAGAAAATTAGTAGAACTCATTGGAACTTTGAAAAGTTAGAGTCAGAAAAGTCAACAAGAACAGAAGACAGGTGAAACAAAGAAAAACAAGTTTAAAGAAAAGTATTACATACTTCACAAATTATTGGTGAAAAAGAGAGATTTCTTACCAAGTACCCCAAGTCGATAGTTGACCGTGATGACAATCACGTTGCCATAACTTGCTAAGACGCTCCCATCATATAAATTTCCAGTACCTTCCATGTATGAGCCACCATGAATATATACCATCACCGGTTTGGGGCCTCCACTGTCCCGGATATCTAAAAAAGAAAATGGTTGGCAATTGTTCTTATTTTCAGAAAAACACATACTGAAACAAAGAACTCATTTTCAGTTTCAGAGACAGGAGGGCATGATTTTAATACAGGTCTTTAAAATGCTGTTTTTGCTAAAGTGTTTCTTAAGCAACTCTACTAAGAGGAGTTGCAAAAAAGAGACAAAAGGCATCCATTGTTTTCCATGCAGAATTTTGCTTACAAATTTTAAATGGAATTGCACATTTGGACAAATTGGAAGTAGTTGTAATTTTTAATGCATTTTGTTAAACTTTTAAAGTGACAGTAAAGCCAAAAAATGTAATACAATGATGATGAATCTTTAGATTACTTTTTAAAAAATGACACACAGAATTTATGAACCATCAGCTAAGGACAATAATTTCATAGTGATTGTAAGTACACTGGGGTTTTTTTCTTCCTATTTATTGGAGAGCTTTGTATCAAATGTAACATGATTACACTGTCATTTATGCTTTTGTTCGTGGACATAATTATGGAACTGTATTATTCGGTGTAGGAAGTCACAACTAACTGCTTAAAGACTGTCAAAAGAACATGTAGACAGTAAAGTCATGTGTGCCTGAATTCCTATTTTTGTATTCAGGGGCATTTTGCTTAAATGATATTTTTTGTGATGTCTAGGGTATCCATTCACTCCACTTAACCTTTAAAGAGAACAACTGGATTACATTTTTTCTGACTTTTCCTGTAGCTAATAAATTCTTAATCTTGACTGTGGTGCTTTTTAAAAAATCATGTATATATGTGACAGACTAAAGCCAAATTTAAGTATGAAGTGCTAAAATGTAGTATATATTATAATTTCTACAACTTTTAATTTTTTTCAACTATCATTTGCTACTCTATGATAGTCTTTACAATTTATAAAGTCCTTTATCTTTTCTAAGATTAGCTTTTCAAAAAAGGTTTAAATGTGATATGTAAGGGAAAAATGATATTTTTAATCAGTGTGAAAACTGCATGAATATTTATAGCAAAAAGTAATATATTGGTCATTTGTAGTTACTATGTAGACTGAAATATTTGCATATGTATATATACAACTATGAATTTGAACATAAATAAATTATTTCTGTGGGAATTACACCAAATATTTTACCTTTTCATAACACCAGTATTGAGTGTCATTTAAAACTCAAACTATAGTTTTGTTCTTTTACTTTAACTTACTTTAAATTATGTTTTGGTCAAACTAAATTCTCCTACAATTTTCCAATTGAGGCATCAACTTTCAAAATGTTCTAATGTAGTATAAGTTTATTGAAAGACCTGGTGATTATGTATTGACTGCCTTATATTATTTATTAGATAAAAGAATGACTAATTTATGTATCTAAATTCTTCACTATAATAATAAAACAGTTTCATTGAAGGAAATATCATTCCTAGTTCAGAGTTGCAGCTCAAATATTTGGCTACAGCTTTTGGATTGGGAAATGGCTCAGGGGAAAACTTAGAAATTTTTGTAAAAAAGACTCTAAAATTGTCTTAATACTAGTATATAAACTTACAGACACACCTCCCTCCCCCAAAGATGTCTTTGAGAAGAATGTTTTGTTTTTAAGCAGTGAGAGGAGGGTGCTTTGACATAGCTATCATCTGCTAGACATAGCTACATTTAACAAGGAAACCTAAATATATATTTCTCTTGCAATCCTTAAGACAGATGATGGTATTCACTCCAATATAAAGATTTGGGGGCTTGTGGAGATGTTGGATTTACACAGAGTGTAATCCTTTTGAAATTGTTAAACTATGCACCTAAATGCTTGCTTGTTACATAGAGTTTTAGCTTCTTCTTTTTCTAATATGGTTTGCACTGAAGAAGCAATAATAAATTATTAAACTGAAATCATTAACTGACTGTTCACAGCAGACATTGTACTCTGCTAATTGTGTGCTTGGAGGTAGCACAGAGGGAGGCTGTTTCAGAATTCTTCTTTAATTAAAATTACATAGAATTACAAAGCACCAACTGTGAACAGTAATGAAATCTTGGTAGAACCATCCTGTTCACCTGGAAAACAATACAGACACGCATTGAGAAAACCTGCCACATTTTATGCCTAATAACACAACGAAGTGGACATTTTCAGGAAATGCTAGGAATATGACAGAAGTTTCAAAGAGATATTATGAGAAGAATTTATTTTTCTGAGCAAATAGGTTTTAAAAGTATAGTTAGAGGATTCTAATTTCCATTTGTATATTCAAACATTTCAAAGATTTAAGCATTCCATGTACATTTGAGATATTACATACTTTCTAAAGATATTATAAAATTCTAATATTTTATGAGAAATAATTTGTTTGGTTTGAAGGAATGCTGAGGTTAATATTATATGAAATATTAAATACTAAGATAAAAGTCCTGGGTATACAACACAACTTAATATTTTTCACAAAGCCTGAGAAACTAGAATCCTTAGAGATCAAGAAAAAATAATGAATTTTTCATAGCATTTTGTCAGAGTGGTTCATCTTAGACTTTACTGGTTTAATATTCTGTATGCATTTTTGATATTAACAATTATTGCAGAACTATTTAATGAGTATTATTTACTTTGTATTTAAAAAGAACTACATATTTTATAAATGAAACTAATGTTTTAGGTTGCTTTCCATTGAACTCTGATCTTTTATCATCATTTTCATAGTCAAAATTTAGGGATTCATTTATCTTCATAAAAATATATTAAATGTACTTCAGTAATTTACATTGAAACTTTCAGAAATAAATTGTCCTTTTAAACCCTATCTCTTACTTAGCTACCAGTAAATGATACGGAATGTGTGAGCTATGCATTTAACTTAGGACTTGTGCTTTGGTTAAACTACTGACTTTACTAAAGTTGTCAAATTACTCTCCGACACTTTAAAACACTAGATGAGTTCCAGTAAATATACAAACTTTAATCAATATGATTATTTTTTCTGTTATTTGCAGTGTTTCTAAATCTTGCATAGCCCACGTGGCTCTGAAAGAAGTGAAATTGCAAGAAGAAAATACTGCATTGAAAAAGAAACTATTACAAACTTTTTTTAAAAAATTAGTAAGAGTAAGGAACTTGGAATCTGAGTAAGGACTTTCATTTTAAACTGTAAAATTATTTCATCTTTCTGGTAAACCAAAGTTTCACAGTAATGCAGAAAGAGTCATTACATATAGAATTATTTGCACTTCACAAATAGTATTTGCAATCATGATTTCCTTCAATAATTATTTCCTTCAATAATTATTAGTCATATAGCTCCTTAAGTATGCTTACTGGATTCTTTCTTCTTCAAGGACTCATGAAATAGTTTCCTGTCCATATTTGAGATTTAACTGCTTCAGACTTACGGAAGCATTGACTCAATTAAATCTTGCTCCGTTATGTATAAAAGACATTTCGAGAAATTTTTGTATTTTCCTCTCATTTTTATGGACCTTTTTTTTTATCATGCAGAAACATCAATTAAATATAAAAATATTGGCTGAATTTGTTTTTGATAATGGATATATTACATAGATACATTTTTAGTTTTGAAAAACACAAAATATCTGCAGAACAGGTTTTATAAAGCTCTATGTAGAAGACAAAATTGTACTGGAACATTGAAAAGCCGACTTCAAGGTATTCTTATCACAGTTTTAATTTTTTAATAAAAATCTCCTATATTCCTAGAATACATAACTGGAAATCTTAGCTGTTGCTTTGGGTCATATTTATCATTTCGGATTACTCTCATTTAAACTGTGGAATAGCTTTGATTATCATAAAGCACATGAGAAAATGATTCTATTGTGCGTTGGTCTAGAGATGACAGAACAGTGCTGGCAGGGACACACAAGAAACAGAAGTCACAGTTCTGACTGAGAAGCCTTCCATGAGGCTACTTGAATGAGGTGCGAGGCCTGGGCAAAGCTGGGGCAACCTCAGATTTTGCTCCTGTGTTAGAGTCAGGAAATACATGGAGGTTTTCAAAAATAATGGGTAATTTTATATAAATAGCCAAATAATCTAACTTGGGGCTGAATTAAAAAGAGTAGTGTTTCTAGTAATTTACATTCCTTATGTCCAGTAATGTTGATTCAGTATTTGGAACAAATTAAATAAGTTATTTAGATTCTGTTTTTATCCACATACAGATATACAAATTAATTCTAATTTTTTTTCAATAGCAGATGCCCAGACATTTTCTATATTATTTTCTCATGCAGAATATTTGAATTCATCTTCTCTTCAAACGTTTATCCAACACAAGACTTGGCTGGTTTGACATTCTAGAATTTCAATTATTCAGGTAAAGAATACTTATTGATTTGGTAATTCTTGCTACTGAGTGGCTTAGTACTTAGGCTGGCTGAGTACTAGCTTCCAACCTAAGTAAGGATGTACAATATTTTTAATGCCTAATTAAGTATGTTAAATGTACTTTAAGGGAGCTGGGGATTTAGCTCAGTGGCATAAGCTACTGCCTTGCAAGCAGGCAGTCGTGAGTTCAATCCCTGATACCAATAAAAAAGGAAAAAGACAAAAAAAAATGTACTTTAAGGCAGCTTTATAAAATGGATGCATGTTTAGAGAGCTTAGCTCACTGTGGATTTTCAGTGGTGTCCATACTCAACATATCAATGTTTAAGTAGATGTTGTTATACCAGAAGAAAAGGAAGAAAAAGGAAATGAATTAAATCAGCAATTAAAATATTTTTTCAAAGGAGTAATGGTATATACTAAAGTTCTGATTAAATCTGGATAGTTTGGAATTTACAGAGGCACAAACTGAAATGTGACTCACACTTTAAGAATCATTTAGATAGAAGATATGTAAAATATAGGAATTTGGGGGGTTCAATACATTCCAAAGCTTGAAAATTGATACAGTCTTTTACAGAGTGCTAGGGATAATAGCGATATCCTACAAAGTCAGTAAATCTCCAGAATTTTTGAAGGCATCAGATTTCCAAGGATTTAAAAAAAACACACAATTGCATTTTACTACTATAAATTTATTTTTATCTATTTAGCATTCAAAATGATAACTCAGATAACCATATGATTTATTTCACATATTAATGAATATTTTGTGTTTACTCTTTAATCCACTGCTAGGATTCACAATAAATGAAATTTTAATCAAATATCTTATTTCATTTAAACCAAACAGTTCTAAAATTGTATAACAATATTGAAACCAAATAAAACTGTTAAGCTTTCAATATTTCAGATAATAATTTTATTTTCCAGTAGAGAGCTTATTAAATATGTAACCATGAAAATTAGAAATGCAAACTATTTAGTAAAGAGTCATTTGGTCTTGGATTCTTCGTAATTTAGGGGGCAAACTCTACTGACCTCATTGTCAACTATTTTATTTTGGAAAATCTTTTTTATGGTATCATTAATATTTTTGTGAGAATTTCGAGGCTTCAGCAAATCACTCTTAAATCTGATATTACATTAGTGCAAAGTTAAGGGGGAAATAAGAAAAAAATATATAAGTACAGAGTGGAGCTGTAAATATAAGTACAAAATGAACTGAAAGAATCAGTGGTGCTCACCAAACACTTAGGTGGGCATCAGGTAAAGTACGGTGGAATAGGAAATGTCAAATCAATCTAGTGTGTACTTAGAACTACAAAGTATATCAAAGTTAGATGATATAAAAACAATTTGTTATTAATAAAGTCAAAATTATTTTTGCTTATTACTGATATTGCATTAATAATGAGAATATTTTACTTACCTAACTAGAAAGTATAACTTGTAATTAAAAACTATGTTTTATGTTTTGCTTTTAAAAAAAAAAAACTTTGCCAAAATTATAATGAGGGAGAGGCCTTAACTGGTCACCTAAATAATTATGATGCCTTTTGCTGATTATACAATTTCATTTTATTTACTTGATTGTTAACCAAATCAATAGAAAACAATATTTTTATAATCTAAAACCTTGCTCAAGAAACACTTTATATCAGCTTATGGCTTTTTTTTTTCATTTTATTTGGTATGGAGTTCCTTTCAAACAAAAATCAAATGTAAAAATGAAACATTTTTATATTGTATATCATATTTACATAGATTAGAAAACATGCAAAATGGGAACAGAGAGACTCAGGGAGTGATTGTTAGTTCAAAGAATGTGGACAAATTTGTCAGAAAGTGGGATGGAACAGAGCAAAAGTCAGTTCAAGAAAACAAAAAAAAATGCCCCTCTTTTTAAAACATTTTAATGGTTGGCATCAAAATGTAAAACTTAACATTTATTTAAAAAAAATTAAAAATGTATATTCATATGTAACAACAAGCAAGAAGACAAAGCACATCAAAAAACAGGAATTAAAAACAACTCTTCAAAAAAAGACAAGAATTAAAAAAATAGAAAGGGGTGGAAAAAGAGATCGAGGGCCTTATCATGCAAATAGATTTGGTGGAAAGAAAATACCTTCATCTTCCGCACCGTCATTATCACCTAAATCATCTGTCTGTTTCTTTGAAAGGGGACCTAGGATTGAGAGTGGAGAAATGGAGGGGGAAAAAAAAGACAATTCAAGAATAAACAATACTGAGGGGGAAAAAATGAATGTAAATACTAAAATTCTCAAGGATGTTACCAAAAAGTGGGGAACTGGTTACATCACCTTATCTATTTTAAGAAAAAAAAAAAACCTTTCCCCAAAATATCTCATAGACTTGATTTTTAAACATATCCAGCATAAAAATATACTACAGTTTGAATAAAGATGACATTTAAAAAAAAAAAAATACCCACGGCACACAAAAAAAGTAATCTTATTAGCTGAAAGAACTTAATATATTGTGTCATTTTTAATTTGTATTGGTGACAATAATAAAGAAGGTAGGTCAAATGCATTCCTCAATTTGAAAAACATTAGAAAAATAGATATGAACATTTTGAGGATTTTTCTTTTTTTTCTGTTTTTTTTTTTTGTAAGAGCGTTAGCACTTCAGTTTTACTCGTTTTTTAATATATACATTTTAAAAAACTGTGACTCTTTAAAATTACTTATCATTATGCAAATATTTTCCCCTCTGTTTTCATTTAAATGTTAGCTGTGGTTAGAAGATATTTTCCACTTGCACAAATATATCAACAGATAATCTCATCACTTGGCAGAGAAAAGGTACCATCAATATAAATCAGCGTTTCCCTATTAAGGTAGTTACAGAGTCAGGGCCAATATTTCATAATCAATTTATTAATATAATGGAATTATGCCCTTGTGCAATTTCATGCCCACTCTAGTTATTTATAATAGGATCATGTTTTAGAAGAATAATTGCATTAAAACACTGTGAATGTTTAATAAATGTTTTATTATACTTAACAATGCTAATTTGCTAGAATAAAGGAGCACACCAAAGGGGAAGTCAAAGGCCATATGAAAGTAATTTTAAGTGTCACATAATTAACACACTCAGCACACAAAAAAAGCAAGTGAAGCCCCACATTCTCATTTAATGTCCACAACCATTTAATTTATATGACATTTCATAATCCTCATGCAAAAAGCAATCGCCAAAGCACAGGACACTCAAGTTAAAAGACAGCCAACCACATAGCAATAAGCAAGACAATTTTGTCATGCATAAAATAAGATTCATAGAAAAAAGAAGGCTAAAAGGGCCAAAAGTCATATGTTGATTTCATTAACATAAATATTAAAGAAGCAAGCATTAATTCTGAGCATAACTCGCAGGAAAGTATTGTTAACATTTTAAGAAAGACCTCTGGGTCTTCTCTAAAGTGTACTATGCATTATATTTGTAATTCAAAGCTAAACCTACTATAATAACCCTCAAAGAAAGAAAACATCATCCCAGAGACACATAGTAATGTTTCATCATTTCAGACAGACAGCTTGGAAAAATGTCAGTAATTGGCAAAGACCAAAAAATTAAAAAACCAGAAATTTATACTATAGCTGAAAAGATTCAGGGAGTACTTCAACTGTAAGGTCATAGTTTCAAAGGTCATGCAGAATACTGACAGAACTGTACATAACAAATTATGTGATATACTTATAATCACACCTGCAAGCAATCATTCTATTGAGAAAGCTGGATGAAGGTAATAGTTCATGTTAATTGACACTCAGTTGCAAATTCACAAATATTTGTATTTCTTTAATAGAACCCCTTTCAAATGCAAACAGCATGTTTGGGATTATTTGATGATCACTCGATGTCACTTGATCACCCAATGTCACTACTTCTTCAAAATATAAATATTTTAAATTTAAAAATTACCAAAAAAATGCTGAATCAGTAATGGAAATATTTCTTATTTTAAAACATCTTCAAAATATTAGATATGGAGAATAGTAATTTCAAGCTTTTTATTTTCTGTAAATTGGTGAGTATTGAAAAATTCTTTGTCACAAATCTATTTTCCAAGATACTAGATGTTTTATTTGCTAGTTGCAAATAAATTGAGTGCAGTGATATGTATTGTTGTCAAAACCACTGTCTACTTTCCAATTTCAGTTAAGTTAACTAATTCTGTTCCAAAACGGCTATGCAAAAATATCTGGCAATGTAAACTCCAAGTTTTGGTGCTAAATTACTGTTTCAATACCGCTGCATTTGTAGACTATTGCAATTAAATCACTTTCTTAATTTTATCCAAGGACCTGATGGAAGAATGTTGCTTTTCCTTCCTAAAAAGGTATTCAAGTCCATTTACATTTCTATTGGATACCATCCAGGTTCTATAGCCGCTGAGCACGTGGTTTCTAATGCTTCACAAATTGTTACTTCTGGGACCCACATAGGATGCATGCAATATAAGATTTTGTTAAACATGATCTTATCTCTTTGCATGAGTGACCTAGTTCTCAGTTGCTATTTGGCTTGGGGTGGGCATAAGTAGAAAAGTCACAGAAATGATGTGGTATTTACATAGTTTGAGTTTTTTGCTCCTTTAGCTATGATCCCTTCACTACTCAGGAGGCTCTATAGCTGACATGAGACAACTACTACATGCATACAAAGCTGAAAAAGTTAGAAACAGACGTAGGTATTAACATCATAGGTACATAGGAACATCACTAGCCTAAAGGAGGATTGAACTGAGTTCCTTCAAGTTGAGAATTTTACTTATTGTTAATAAATAAAAGAATTATTAATGTGTTAACCAAGATGGATTTCATCAGTATTTCAGTAATTCCAACCTTTTTTTAAATTTTAACTTCAAGAGATGTTTACACATCTAGTTTTAAGGTTTCCCGGGAAAAAGAATGTTGATAGCAATTTTTGGAAAAATGATTAGGAGAGTCCAGGGTTACAAACTGAGAACCCAACATGTCTTTCTCTGAGAACGATTCAGTGGACTAGGTAAGTGCACGCTTGTGACTTTCAGAAGCATGTCCCTTCTGACCTCAAGATTTCCTATTCTGTTGCTGAAAACAAAACAGACCACTGCATGGGTTCCCTTAGCACATTCAGTAACTGAGTCATTTTCTTTATACTTAAGTGTTATATTTGAAGTTGTGAGAGTTGACCCCCCTGCTATAACCCCCTCCCCGAGTTATAAAAAGCAGCAAAGAATGTTTCACTCCCTAACTCCCCAGAGCGGGGAATGAAAGGGTTAACTCCCTAACTCCCCAGAGCTATCAGAGCAGAGCAGAAAGAAATGCCTAACTCCCCAGAGCTATCAGAGCAGAGAAAAAAAAAAAAAAGAAAAAATGCACCTGCAAGGTTGTTCTGTCTCAACGAGATAAGTAAGACAAGTAACTGTTCTGTTCTGGGCACATAGTGACTGGGCTAGGACCCCCAGTCTCCATGGTTACTCAACCCCAAACCCCTCCAATCAACTTCTGCCAAGTCCTATGCTGCTCAAAATTAACCAATGCAATCTGCTTCTGTAAACTCGCTTGCCTCCCGTTTGCGCCCTTAAAAACCCTACACAATTCCCCCTCGGGGCCCTCCGCACTTGTTTGCCTGGGGGACCCCATGCGCATGGAAATAAACTTTTTTCCCTCACCAAGAGTTGAGTCCTTGGGGTCTCTTTCCCTGTGGCGTCGGCCCTAACAAAGTGATTACTGATGTTAAAACATTTTAAATATAAAATACATTGAAAACTGTAGTTGCCACTAATTTTCTTATGAAAATTAGATGATTGCCATTTCAGGGATCCTGGGCTCCTGTATGTAAATCAAGCAGCCTGGTATCCCCAAGGTACTGCTGCTTTGAGCAGGAGCAACAATCATTAACAATATTATAATCACAGCTCATACGTTTTCTCAACAACAGTGCATTTTCAATACCAGTGGTTTCAAGCAGATATTTTAAAGCATACAAATAAAAAACCAAAAGAGACCATTAACACCTGAGTGTAGAAGTGATTTATTTTACCTTAAAACCTGTTTGGGTCTCTCCTCCCTGAGGAATGCACACATAACTCTCATTAGAGTTAATAGGAAAGTAGACTTCGTGTCATTTTGAAAGGGAGTGAGAGTAATCTCTGTAATTTACTTATCCTACAGGCAATAACTAGATTCAGGGGTAAAACAATAGAACTAACCAAGGTAAAGGGAACTCCCAATTACAAACTTCAGACTCGTTTAATTACAGAATAGTTCCTTTGTAATTACCATAAGCATAATTTAACATACTGGCCTTTACAATGGACATGTGATGCATCCTCACATTTCAGAATCTGACCACAGTGGCTTTCATTTTTTTTTAAGATGAGTAAAAATATCAGCATTTCCCCATAGTTAACTGGAGAATAATTACGAGCTCTGAAATAATTACTATCCACCCGTATTAAGGCTGCTTTTTATCATTTTCTTTGATGAAAGGCTAATATACTTTAGGTTTCAAATACATTAGAACTGATTATAAATTCCCTCATTATGGGTTCAATTCAGCAGAAATTATCCATACTTTGTGTCACACATATCCGCAAGAGGCAAGTAGGTTGAGGGTATTATTAGCTTCTAACTAAGAAGGCTGGCCATGAGAAATGCGCTCCTATCAAGGGAACAGGCTTCTGATATTTTGAGGATTATTTAGAGCTGCAGGTCCCACCATGAAAGATAGAAAGCCCTGGCTAATGACCTTGCTCGCCTTTACTCCTCTCTCTTGACCCAGCTGACTTTGAGGTAAACTGACAATAAAGAATTGCTAAGTCTATTTCCAAAAATGAGAGAATTTAAAGATATTGCTATTGTTCTGGGGCAGATTAGAAGCTGGTTGTATTTTTAGAGATGCATTTGCTTGGCACACAGTTTCGTTTGCAAAACTCGGATCAAGGATTTGTGTTCCATCTGCAGAACAATGGCCGAGTTCAATATAAAGAGCAAGAATATATTATGTGCCTTTTCCAAAATTAACAAACATTCAATATCATGATTTCAAGGTATTAAATATCTCTACCACTAATATAATAAAAGCCTATTGCATTTTACACATTGAAATTCTGTTGATTTTACATAACTAGAATGAATATACAACTTCTAGTGTAATTGAAATGAATAA